TTCTCTTTTGCCTCGGGCACTGTCTGGAAAGTGACTGGCTCAGCTTCAATAGCAGACTAACTGATAGACAGTACCAGATAATTATACTTCCCCCATCCACCCCTCAAAACACAGACAAGCATCCCCCAATACAAAGCACAACATGTGGGGAGGAACAACTTTTTTCATGGCTGCATCCGAATATTGCTATAATGGATCTATCCCACTTTCTATGTCTTCAGTGAAGCCTTTGTATATGAAAAAGTATTCACCAGGCTGTCTTCATGCCTGCAAATATGCAGTAAATTCAGGATCTGTCTGAAGATTAATCTAAAGTACTTGGTCATAAACTGATTAGTTTCATTACTTTTCAGCTATGTTAATTGAAGCAGTTTGTCCACCTGGCAAAGAACCTAGAAGGTACAGAAGAATGTTGACCTTTCCACACATTTCATGGTTTTTTTAAAATTTAATTTTATTCTATTGATTTATTTTTGGCAAGGACTCCTTTTCCCAGGGTTCAAAACATTACTGCAAAATGATGGTAATGATTTAGTTGAATTAAGGCCAGTATGGTCTTATCATCTTCAATGATTCAGGCTATGAATCATTGAACAAAGATTTTCAAAAAAGAATAAATCCCCAAATCACTTAATTTTGCATTCTGCAGGACCTTCATATAAATCCAGTCCTGATCTACTCAATGGCCAAGATCAACCTAACACGAATAAGAAAATTCCAGCATGGGTTTATCAAGAATAAGTCATGTCACATCAACCTGATCTTTTTTGACAGTGTGATTGGTTTAGTTGATAATGGGATGGTGTATGCATAAGTATACCATGACTTCAGGAAAGCTTTCAACAAGTGTCTCATGAGATTTTAGTAAAGATGTTAAATTTGGATTAGACTATCCTATCATTAGATGGAGATGTCCTTAGTTGAACAATTGTACCCAACAAATCTGATTTGCTCCATGTTTACTTGGAAAGAAGTGTTGAGTGGTGTACTTAAGGGCTGCATTCTAGGTTTTGTGCTGTTCATCATATTTATAAATGATTTGGATGATGGGTAGAAAGTAGGTTTATCAACATTCAGATGACACAGATGAGGGTGTAGCAAACACTTAAAATTCAGGAGGATTTTCACAAGCTGGAATGGGTACAAACTAGCAACATGAATGTCAATGTGGACAAATCAATGTTTGGGCAGGATAAATCAAAGGTATGAATATAGGAAGGGGAAGCAGACCATTCTGGGCAGAAATATATTCAAAAAGATCTGGAGGGATCACAAGCTAATATGAGTCAATGATCTGATATAGCTTCAAAAAGAAAAAACAAACAAAAAGCAAATGCAATCCTAGGTAGTAGTATCAACAGAAATACAACAACATTAATAGAATTGCTCCCATCTATTCAATATTGGTCAGACCACAGCTAGAATATTACGCCCAGTTCTGAGCACTGCATATTAGGAAGAATATTGACAAACTGAAGCATGTCCAGAGGAGAGAAACTAAGATAAGTGGTCTGGAAAGAAAAACATACGAGGAATGGTTGGAGGTGCTGGGCATGTTTAGCCTGGAGAAGAGAAGAGAGAGATGACTGCCATATTGAGGTTTCTGAACAGCTGTCATGTAGTAGACAGGGCAGAATTGTTCAGTGTTGTTCCAGGATACAAAATGAAAAACAAGGGGTTTAAATGACAGGTAGATTTAAATTGAATAAATTTCCTAATGTTAAGAGCTGTTCAGTAATGGAACAGACTACCTCATGAGATGGTAGACTTCCCTTTGCTAGTGTTTAAACCGAAGCTGGATAGCCATGAAGTAGTGGATTCTTGCATTGGGCAGTGGGTTGGATTAGATTATCTCCAAGTTCCCTTTCAAACCTTAAGCGCTAACATTCTAAGCAGCTCTTGAAAAGGATATGTAACTTTTAGAGAAATTGCTTCTATCAATCAAAAGAGATGAAGATTCTGATCACTTGAATGCATAAGTCCAAGTTTGCTTCTTTATGATCCATGATACAATTTGTAAAGTGAAAAGATAAGCCACTTTGAAGTATATAAATCATGTAATGTTTATAGTCCCAAGTACACTTCGAAGTCTGGAGAGGTGAACCTGTAAAACATTATGGTATCCTTCATGTGCAGCAACATTTAGCTGTCCTTTAAGACTTATATGAGTACCATTTTCCAGAAATAAACAATTTACATTAATTTTTTTTTTTGTTTCTTGTACAAGTAGTGACAAATTAAGTCCAAAATTTCAAAAAATAAAAAAGTCTAACCAAAACTCTAATATTCAACACTTGCATTTTTTCTTTTGAAAAAAGATTAACTCAGACTAAATTCTATCACAGTCATGCAACAGCCCACAGGTCTTATGGATCCAGAATTATCTAAGGACTCCACAGATTTTTTTAGTTTGTTTTATTTTATTGTCTTCTCTTCTTTCTTCTCTTTAATTAAAGAAATAATTAAAAAATAAAAATTACAAAGTAATTTGAGATGTATATTCAAAGGATTGTTCTATTGGTGAGGAATGTTAATATGTTTTTCCATTTGGTATTTTCCACTGTTAGTGTAAAAACCACATTTGATATTGTTTCAACTCCTCCAGTTACAGTGCCCCACTGAGGCATAAGAATTAGATTGTAACATTTTGTGTGTACACACACACACACACACACCCCCCACATCCGTCTCTTCCCCTTATTTGCTTCCTAAGGGAATGGATAGGATCAGGCCTAGTATGTTTTACAATACCTTCTCTTTCAACACCATGTAGGCTGAGAGAACAGCTTAATTTATTGATACTAGGTAGGCAGATGGGTGAAGACTGAAAAATGGGTGGATTTGGTCACCTGAGTTGAATTAGGGCAGTGACTTCAACACACTGGTAAACTTAAAATAATAGGAACAAGCATTACATTCAGAACTGAACTGAATGTTTTAATGCAACGAGTAGAATATTTGATGGAATGGTGAAGAAATAAATGAAAGAAGAGGGAAAAAAAGGAAATAAAATTCAGGAAGAATCCCAGTGAAACCCTCAAAAGGGGATGAGTCTCTCACAACTAGTAAGAAAGGTGGAATATGGGATAGAGTGATTCTGTTTAGTATGAGACTTAAAAAAAAATACTAGGGATTTCAGAATTGTCAGAACTGACTCACTTGGTTGGCTGGAAATGTATTTTATGAATTCATTTTAGCAAACGTATAAATTGCCCTTTGGTACATGATTCCACGGCCAGCATACATTCAGACAGAATTCAGGAAGGCCAGCAGGTTTACTGTGGTCATAAAGCAAGAACCAAATCCTAGCTCAGCTAGAGAATTTCCCTTTCACTGAACTTCATTTCTACACTTGTAAAGTGGGAACAGTGGCAACTTCTTTTGCAGAGATGTAGCGATGTTCAACAATTGCCACTGAACATAATTTAATAAATGAAAGTCTCCTTTCCAATAGTATAGAGTTCACATATAAAGACTCTGCATATAATGGATACCTTCTAACTCAGTTGTGCCAAGATAAGACAAAGGAACACACATGTTCCGTTCCAAAACTTTACAAGATACCTTGGAAATCTTCATGGCAGCAATAAAGAAATCCTTGTCTTTAATCATATGGGAGATGTCTGATTCAGCCTAGAGAACATGGAAGTAACCAAGAGTCTCAGCTCTGTTTTTGCAGCCTTTCCATTCTTTTGCAATGTTGACACTTGTTTCCGCTGGAGATAGTTAGCTAATCAAGAACTTCAGAGCCAGCTAATGATCAGAAGCAGAGTGGAAAGGAATTACCATCTTTGGGTTGGAGGAAATAGGACAAAACAGAAATCAGGTCTCCATTTAACTGGGGGGGCAGGGGCGGTGACCTCTCTGGTACTTTTCTGCTAGCCTCCACATCAACATTAAATGTGAGTGGACAATCCTATGCTGTTCCTATGGAGATTATTATTTATCTGCTGCCTAAAGAAACAGGGAGACTAGGTAATCAAAGCAAGTCATAATAAGCTGGAGTAAGAATATTGTGTTGGTCACAGATCATTTAAAGTTTCTAGTAAGGAAGTAACCATCCAAACACTTTCCTGAGAGATCATAACTGATCACTGACATCAGCATACCAAAAAGATCCTAAATGGTTGTGCTTCCACGCAATTAAAGAGCCACACTTCTCTCTTTCCTTCTCATGGGCCACTCCATTGATCTAGCTGTTATCATTTCCGTTTCTTATGGAATATTTTGTTGCACACAAAAAGGACTTGGTTACAGACTCTGATTTGGTTGCCTGGCCATTATTTCTTGCTTTAAAGTTTCATCCTGGTTTATGTTTTTGGAGATAGTCTGCTGAAGACAGGAGGATGCTCTAATCAACATCTGAAAGAGTTGTATGTCCATGAGCATGCACATTCACACGCACACACACCTGACATAAAAACAATTCTGGAAATTACATGCCATGTTTATCTGAGCTAAATCGCAAATGGAACACTCTGTCATTTTTTACCTTTTTGGATAAAGACTCCCCTTCTGATAATCTGACCAGGCCTTATGTTGCCATTGGGAGTGCCGCCAGAATGTGGTGGAGCAATGCAGTTTCAACAGGCAAAAGTAGCGGTTCTCTAAACCTCCTGCATGATCCTGGTGTTGCTAAATCTGGCACCAAGAACATTTTCCTCTGCAATACTGAGAAAGCTGATTAGAATAGGTAGCTCCTTTCACTGTGGCTATATGACACTTGTACATGGAGAAGTGCTTCTCTGAAAGCATCCCTTTGTCCTCTAAATTGAAAGCTTACACATGGAGAGATTTGTGTCTGTGTGTGTGTGTGTGTGCAGTGAGAACTGGGGGGTCGACTTTGAGAGAGTTGTTAAACTCTGCTTACAAAAGCTGATCCTGACTTCTATAAAAAGCCAATGCAAGGACATTTGGGGAAAGTGGATTGCTTCTTATAGAGGAGAAAAATCTCCCTTTAGGCAAGATTGTTTCCATATATGCCTATCCTTCTTTTTTATTTTAGTTTTTTTTTTTTTGCCTTCCTGTTTCTAAGTCTCCAGCACACTTTTAAGCAGCATTCAAAATGAGAGCATTTATTTGGCCTGTGCTAAATAACATTTTAAAAATGGCACAGGACAAACTGTAGAAAGAATAAGGGATGCCTGGGACTGCTTCTCTAGGTTCTACTCACCCTCATTTCTCTCCCACACTTTCAATCCTTAAAAGAAAAACATTAGCTTGTGGAAATTGTGCAAATATAGCAGTTAACACTAGAGGCAGAAGGCCAGGGAGAAGAAAGGAAGAGTAGATTCAAGAGTTGAGTTGTCCAGTCAAGGCAGGAAAGGAAGCAAATATAGAAGGGAAAAATGATAAGACTGCCCACCCGCCTGCTATAAGAAAACATAAGGTAAAAACGTTGCCCTAGAAGTTAGTGCACGCCCCAACCTTCCATTGCTAGATTTGGGGCAGGCCTTGGTGGGGAAGGGACAGTAGCAGTTTAGCTGGAATTTTTCCCCCCGGCTCTTCTTGCGCATCTCTTGGGTCTCTCAGGTTCTTTGCTACGTCACTCCTTTCAAAAGGTCCTTAGATGGGTTCAATTTGTTTTGATAATAATGATTTAAAGGTTTGTTCGTCTTCCGTTCAATTGGTGCAAAAGGTTCAAAGACGCAGCAGACTCTGTGCACTGTTTCGTGCTGGGCCCCAATATATCTTGTGTGTTTTCTTGTTGCTGCAACTTGCTTGCCCCTTCTCTTTTAGCATCCACTGCTAGGAAGTCTGCAACAGCAACTCGGCCTTTTCAGCTACTAAGGGCCATTGTGTCAATTGCCTGCTCCAACTTACTTCGCAGCCGTTGTCTTCGGGCCTGTTCATCCTTCTCTAAAGCAGCTAAAATCTGGTAAAGGAAAAAGCAGAAAGTAAAGCATTACTACTAATAAAAAAAAATCCTCTACAATCTGAAATACTTTCCACAAGGAGCTGTCTAGACAGGAGAGCCAGAAGGGATCCTTCTTGAACCATCAAAAGGCTAAACACTACAGTAAGGAGACAATGGAACACAGTTGCCAGTGGAAAAATATGAAGTGGCTGTTTTCCCAAACATCACAGATAGGAAGAGATTGGGAAGAACTAGTGGATCATAAATTGGAACTTGATGTTATGAATGGATCAAATGAATGGTTTGGATTTATTTGTCAGATCACTAGGAAACATGACAACCAAGAGGAAGAGACATACTTAACTGTCCCCTAAAACTGTTCCCCTTGTAGACTTTCCCCCCTCAATTTGGATTTCAAAATATGGCAGGTAAAAGCTATTTAAACCACCTAGTCTGAGAGGCAGCAACATTTGCATAGGAAACTCTAAGGCTGCAGGAAAGTGTAAGTATTCTCTGTTTCAATTATTGGAATGACTGCCCTTCTTCATCCCGACAAACGGCTTTCTGAGGATGCACTGTGTGGAGACCACTGTCATCAAAGAGAAGCAGCCAAACAAGGTGGACTGGACCCACCTCGATGCTTTGCCACACTGAGGTGGAACAGCTCTTCTCTATAAGGCCAAGCATTATGTTGACCTGGATTGTAACTCATCCACACAGGCCCAGAAACTAAGAAATTAAGCTTTCTTAATGCTTAAATTTGTCCTGACGTTTAAGATATACAAGGGAATGGTTCCTCATGGATATAAACCCTGACGATTATAAAGAACAAACAATGGGATACATTCCAAGAAAGTCATGGAAATCTTTGAAACTGATAAAGAAACTGTTTCTTTAACAGTTAAATATTCTGACAGAATATTCAAAGGCCTACCATGGAATCCCTTTAAGTCAATCTTCTGCAGAACCACTTTGTTTTCAAATCTATTACTGTTCACATTTAGACATTTCTCAGATAATCAGTGTTTTTAAATGGTCTCTTTGTGTGATCCTGAGCTCAGTGAATCCAAAGGAGAATCTGAGCCTCATAGTTTTTGTTAAGGAATGAAACCGTATAGGCAATGAGTCCCTATCTTTGGTTCCTGGGCAAGGCAAGAAGAATTGCTGCTGACGAACCTAAATTAGTGGTCCAATGTAGATTTCATATTCGGTCTCAGTAAGGTTTGCCTCAATTGATGGAAGATCCTATTGCTATTCAAAATGTGTTTTTAGAATACTGGAAAATGGCAATTCTGGAATTTTTCCACCAAAATTTCATTCCTCTAAATAGGCTTATACTTCAGTGCCATTTAGAAAACAAGTCAAGTAATGGAATTTAACATGCTTAGGGCCTTTATTGAAGACACTAAGAAAAAGGACATAATTAGGGAACACAGTCAAATTAATATAATAAACATCTTTCCTACTGAGAGCGCTAAAAATGCATTCTACATTTCAGTTCTGCTCTCAGAATTAGATGAAAACCCTCAGATCACCATTTGTACATATTCTTGGAAACCCATTCTTTAATCAGCCATATTAATGAACTGAAGGGTGGGATGTTGTAAGTAGGCCTTTTGACAGTGAATGAGAAGGGAAGATTTGGCAGGAAAGGATTGAGAAAGCGGAGGGATAAAAAATAAATGCCCCAAAGCCCCACCTCTCTTTAAATTGCACTGCCAGATTTTTTTTTAAAAAGGACGATTAAAATGCAATCTCATCAGAAATCCCATTATAGTGGTTACATTTGTTGTGAGTGCAAGCTGTATTTTTTTTTCCAATTGAATGTCAAGGCATCCATCAAAAAGAACTCAATTAACCATTTCATTGGCTGCATAATTGGAAACAAACTCTTGTATAATTAATAGATTGACTACTTGGAAGCAGGAAAGGGTCATCACAAACCCTACAAGTAATATGGAAATGAGTTCTCCATGATTAAAAGCAGCTGTGACACCTTTAGGCTTCCCATATTGAATGTGCAGGACATGCTAGGGAGAACACACAGCACCACTGCCCAGGGCTTTGTGAAATGTTGCAAAGAAGCAATTAAAAGAACCTGTACAGAGGTTATGTGCCACAGAGCTGGCACATCCAGGTAGAAACATAAGATCAAGAAAGGGGTTAACCAGTCCAACTTCATGCCCTGTTGGGAGGATATTCTAAGGCTGTTATCCTACGGGAAAAGATTTCTTGTGTCTGGTTGCTAAAATTTTCTAAATAGGGAAGGTGATCCCATAGCTTCCTGGGACAAAAATTGGCCTGCTGCAAATCTGTACAGGCATAATCCAGGCCAGAGTTTGATCCACCAAATGCCTAATCCCTCACCTGAAGTATTGTTCCTAAGCACCCTCTAGATGGTGCTGAAACACTGAATGTTAACAAAAGCAACCAATTAGGCTGCCGATGACAAATCTTAGGATCTTAAAGGTACTGGAGACCTGAATGGGAATGAGAGGCTCTCCCAAATCTCCTTTGCTCCTGATTCACGTGGAGAGTATCACTAAAGTTTGAGAGTTGGGAAAGATTCTACAACCTGCTTGGTGCCTGTTTGTTCTGCTGCCCTTCTGGGAGCAACAGGGTAAAAAAGAAAACAGCATGGAGAACAGGAAGAAAAAGAGAGATACTTGTCTGTCACCTGCTTTAAAGACTGCCATGATTAGAAAGATGCAAAAACCCAAATGAAAATTAATTATGATTTTCATTCAGTGCCAATGACAGCATATTATAGCACTGAGCAACAGGAAAAATTATTCCCTCCCATTTCGCATCAAAGAGGGTGCAATCGGGCTGCATGTAATTGTGTTTAATGAATGAAAACAAACAAAGGGAACAGCTGCTATTTATTAATCCCATTACAAATAATAAAAGAAGCTCCTGAGAGCTGCAAACACATAGGCAGTACTTTTAGAGCAGACTATAGAGGCACATTCAACTGATGCCAGACAGTGGTTAACCAAAAAGACAAGGATTGGCAACTTCTTTTGCCTGCAGCTCATTAAGGTTGCACTTTCTAACCACGTAGCACTTGGCCCTGCTCGCTATTGATTTCTGCTGTTAAGGCCTTGCTGATTTGTAAGACTAATGAAAGGGAAGGTTGGGAGCTGGGAGACCAGCCTCAGGGCAGCGGCTGCTATGAAAAGGGCTTGAGGAACAGTTATTTGGGTGTGCTGTCTCTGGCCTGAGTTTCCTGATTACAAATGGCAGGCCCCTTGCTAAAAAGATGCCACTGGGCTGGCTGTTAGGACCCTGTTGATGGCCCAGTGATCTTGTATCGTGCTTCACTCTTAAGGCAGGCCTGACTTACATTTGTGTCTGTTCATACAAAAGGCTGTCCTTGGCACTGGTAGTGCATACCTGTATTTTCCAGAACTGGAATCCACTAAACCTTGCCCAATTTAATCAAAGTATGATTAAAAAGAAAAGTTACATGGAGTTTTATTTGCAAGGGAGAGTAACAATTATCTCCGTGAATTCCATTCATGTGAATGAATTGTACCTCTCTCATTTGCAGAAAGAAGCAGCAAAAAAAGGGGATCTTTCAGGAAGCAGCTCATCCTGCCACAACCACTGAGCTGCACAGCCCTCTTTGTTTCTTGCTGTCAAATGAAACACTGAGTTTGACTACTAAGCAGTTTTGATTAATCTACTACTTAAGATCTGAAGCATACAGTGGCCTTCAAGAAAAAGGAATTGGCCAACTCACAGGGGATCATCAGGATCACACTGACTTATGGGTGGTCTCTTAAGGAATGGAAATATCACTTGAAAGAGGACCTTAATTCAGGAAGGCTCTCATGCAACCCCCATTCCTAGTTATAAATAGGAGTTATGATAAATGGAGCTTCATATCTATATGAGAGATGCCTTCCTCTTTTATGCATCAGAACCAGTACGTTGGATTGGGTGACTGATTATTAAACTGATTTAAGTATTAAAAATTCTGTGTTATTATTGTTCTATTATCCTTCTCCTTCCATTTCAGTAAGAAAAGCTGTAGGTCTGGACAAAAAAACAAAAACAAAAACATTAATTCAGTATTTTCAAATGGTTCTCTCTGTATCACACTCTAAACAGAAGAATAATTCTACATCTTTATTATCTAGTTTGTACGAAATCTAAGAGGAGAAATCTAGTAACTGGATCTACTCGAGAAGAAGTAATGACTATCAATTCTGATTAATATGCAATGCCAACAAAAGACTGGCACATGAATTTATTTTTATGGAATAAAAACAATAGGAAGTTGGAATGTTCCCAGCAACATGACATTTTACCATAGAGGGAACTCTGCTGACTTGAAATAGATCTCTGAACTGCATATTCAAAACAACTCTCTTCTGCAAAATGCAAGTTGCCACAAAGAGATACAGAATCCATCTGAAGATCTTGTGTATAAAGAAACAATAATATTCAGTTTTGCTGATATGCAGCATTAATGCTAACTTTCCACCATCCATCCTGATCTGGTGTCATTCAGAAATAATGCTTTGAGAGTTTCCAATATGCAAAACACTTTCTATATGAATATAATATTCAAACACAGAGTAATATGATTCAAAACATAGGTAGGCAACCTTTTTGATAGTGGGTATATTTAGAATATTAACAAGCATGTCATAGGCACTCTTACAAAATGAATGTACAAATGTGCTTTCCTATTCACATATAATGGGCACATCAATCACATAATAACCATTCTCCAGAACATGAATAGGTGAGATTGCTCCCTACCAACCCCTCTAATCCCCCAGGGTGCTCCCTATTACCCCAGCTTTCCTTTCCTTTCCTTTCCTTTCCTTTCCTTTCCTTTCCTTTCCTTTCCTTTCCTTTCCTTTCTCTTTCCCCTCCCCCCCCCCCCCCCCCCCCCCCCCCCCCT